CCACAGTCGCTATGTCGTGCGTATTTCACCGATTGCTAGCTTTATCTGCTTTGTTCTACGAATATCGGATTAGGTACGATTACGGATTTGCAATGTAACAATTTCCTCGAAATCCATTGAATATAATCGCTCTGTCCCGCGAGTCGTTGAGAGCCATTGGATACGCTATTGGGCCATCTAAACAGTATTTGTCGAGAATTGCAAATCAAATTAGCATAAATTTTGTAGCGATAGTGGTGGATGATTGATGAAAAATAGGAATATTCTCTGAAATATTTTATTCAAGCGTTACTTGTGATTGACAAAACGTTTGTATTGACTTTTTGTTTTGTCCGTGAAATGTTGACAGAATCATTTGATGGAGAAGTAGGTACAACTGTAGAATTAGGCATATACTTGCATAAACGTTCGGCGGATATTCTTCCGAAAGATTGGTAGCTACATTTACTGTTCATAAAAAAACCTATATAAAGAGACAGTCAAAAGCTGTCATATCATTGTGCGATAACGGAATAAATTGGATTGTGTAAATAAAAGAGTTTGCGAAAAAAGTAGAAATAAAACATGTTCCAATGAAAAATACATCGAAAAATGAAAAAAAATGAATTGAGCATATTAGCTTTGTAGTTTTTCAGTTTTATCTATTAACGCTGTCATGAAAATATTTTCTCAAAAGTCATACTTTTATAAAATAATGTTAAAAACTACAGGATTTTAAATGTTAAAAAATTTTTTTTTTTTTTTCAGTGTAAAGACATTGTCAATTTTACCTTTTTATGTTTAATGTTTCGATAATAAACTATTTTTATTTAAAAAAAAGTTTGTCTTGAGCGTTAACCACGGAAATTTTACATTACTATAATAATAGCATCGAGGTAAGAAATATGTTTTATGTTTATAATTTTATATACAGATTTAAATTTTTACGATCGTCGACAAAATTTATTTTCTGTATTATTAAAAACTGTACAATCATAGTATTCAAATTTTTTTATACTTCGATGTAGAGAAAGTACCCAATTGTTCTCGCTGATGATAAACATTCATAAACATCCCTTTTATATGACTAGACTTTGATCATTTACGCGCCGATAAATCATTGCCAGCTTCTAGCTGCTTGAGCAGTTGCTTTAGATTTTTAGATCATTCGTTTTTTTTTCGTTTTTATGCAACAAAAAAATAAAGCTTAATTTTGTCAAAAAACTTAATAACCGTAGATATAGTATAACAATAGTCAACTGTTTTTGAAAGTTTCAGAAAATTCTCACGAGAATATAGAAATATCTCTTTTGCAAGAATGGAAGTAGTGCGTCGTGATTTTCTTGTTGCACACATTTTTGATATAGATTTGCTCCACTGAAAATTTATATATTATTCACACATATATACATATACAATCGTCGCCTTTTTTTGCTAATTTCATGATGAATATGTTATTAACAGTCTCGATGATTTTGACTTTCGCTCTTTAATTGTATGTTGTGTGCAATGTATTGTGACCGTATAAATGTATGGAATTAAGACTGTGTCGCAATTATTTGTTGTAAATGGCAGTACAGATTATTTATTTTTATGTTTTTTATATCTCCTTTTTTTATTTTCTTCGTAATGTTAAACGTACACACTCGCAGAATTGTTCTCACTCTTTCTTTTCCAACGATTAGTAACGTATCAATAAATTCTCGCTGAAAACGACTTGTTCTCTTCACAACAAACAGCTCTTCAACACGCACGTAATAATATGTTCACAATACGGAATGTCGCAATGTATAGCTAAAAATTGTCAAACAGTTAATTGGGTTACCTCCTTTACTTTTTGTTTTTCGTGAAAAACACTCGCTGTACACGCGCCAGTATAATAATAAACTATTCAATTGTGTCAAAATATGACTAGGTCTTTTGTTGCATTTGCACGCTTCATGGATTTTCTGCTTACTGCATACGCGCGTAATATATACGTATATACACACACATACGCACACACACACATGTTGACGCATACATATACAGATTTATACATACATTAAGTGTATTTATAAATTACACATATATAAAAGATTTAGAAATCTTTTTTTCAACAATTAGCGTACTATCTTATTTATAATACAATAAGGAAGAGATTTGATGCCAGTGATCGTATTCTTTTACCCATCATTTGAAGTATCTTACGACTCAATTTCTGATTGATTTTTCAAATTTTATAGAACTGCTAATATTTTTTTTAAGATTAATTTTATATTAACATACTTATTCACTACTTTCCATGTAACGAAAGAAATTTCGTATATTATGTGTCAAATGCATACGTATATTAATTATTATTAAAGATTTATATATTATATTTGTTGGGCTTTGTTATATAACATAAAATTAAAGATCGGTATTCATAGTCGATTATTATATGACAAATAATCATTAACGAACAATCATTTACAGATCATGAATTATAAAAGTAGTAGCAGATTTTTCAAATACAGATTCACATAAAACAGAAATCTTTTTGAAATTGAATATTGATCCAAATAATTGAATAACGATCTATAAATACGAATCTATAATTAATTATCTATAATTAATTCTCGATCAACATCGAAAATTATTTACGAATTATATTTGCCATGAATCCCAGCATAATGTTCGTATTGGTCTAATTAAATTCTTAATTTCTGAGATAAACAACAATACGTAAAATATATTTTTTATTAATTTTGAATCTTGTATTTCTTATTAATTATATTTTATTATAAATTTAGAAATAACATTTAAATTATTAGATAATTCTGTAAATTTTTTTGTAACAATAAGCAGTTCTCGTATTTACTTCTTGTAATTCGATTTTTGTACCTGCATGTTTTTGTTCGAAATTATTGGACGCATGAAATTTGTTTAGGCTAAATCCGGCAGTGGTTACTAATTTGGTCCAAATCATATACGATACAGCCATCCATGTTTAGTTATGTGCAATTTTTTATTTAGCCGTTTATAGCGTACGATCATTTACTTGTCTATTGGTTCTTTCTGTCTTGCATTTTTGAGTGAAAGGTGTAATATTTGTTTCGTGAATATTATGGTTACTTCAAAATTGCGGTTCGAAATTATTGTCACTGGAAACTGTATTCCAATAGACATTGGCATCGCATTAACGTGCAACTATGTCAGCGACCTTGCCATTGACGCTCGTATTCACACATAGAATTGTGTAAAATCGTAATAAATATTATGTCTGTATTTTCGTATTATTTACATATTACTACCGAGTTGAAAGATAATATTTAGATATTTTGCAATGGATAATTTGATGTTTTATGATCTATTCACGCGAATAGATTTCAGTCTACGAATCGCGACATAAATGGAATACAATTCTATATGTGAAAACCAGTCGATTTAACAAGCTTCATCGATTTTCTAAATCCGCTTCGATATGTTTAACTTGAAATTCGGCTATAATATCAGCTCGTGTTCCGTCGTGGTGTCGCGGACGGTTTCTGGTCTGTCCGGTCGGATACTTTGAACAAATATCCGGTTTTCCACTCGATTTTACCGTTGCCTCGGGGAATTTCGAAACACCGGCAATTCCTGGTCAACTGGCATTGCGCGTGGTATTTCATTTTCCATGCAGTTCCCATTATTCCGATTGATCCGTGACATTCACGCACTGGCACTTTTTAATTTGATACCTCAATTTTGATTTCAATTTGTTGATCATTAAATACATGGTTGGTCAGACGCATGAGAAACACGCATTGTTTGCGAATAGCATTCCGTTGTTTTTATAGACTGGCAAATCTGATAGTTTCCGGGATCCACTTATTCGATGTTGCTTAGACAAACAGTTACACATGAGCAACTAGATAGTTTCCATCCATTATCCCGATTAGATACACATCCTTGCATTAACATCGGTTCTCTCGATACCTTCGGTATCGGGCATACAAGTAGGATCATATGTGCCAGCGTATAATCTTGATTTTACTCAATCTTCAAATATCGAGCTAGTTGTACCACGCGTCTATTTATCAAAGTCCCATTGAAACAATAGGAGAACGCATCTTGCAGGAAACACTAATTCTAATCATGACATTCTCGTTCAATTGACCTCAGTCTCAGGTTCTCGTTTGCGTGCTCTCGATCGATGATTTGCCGTCGTCGTCGGAGCGGGATGGTCCTCGTTGCGGTTTACCAACCCACCCCGGCGACTATATGTGCTATAAGCACGTCTCTTTCTGATCTGTAACGTTGACGACCACGGAGGCCTGCGTGGGTAGTTCCTTTTGGACAGGTACACCTGTCGGCACCTCTTCGAGTATTGGTCAAAGGGTCGTGGTCCTCGAGACTGTTGCCGAGGGTGGTGGTGGCGGCGGGGGCGGCGGGGAAATTACTACGTCTGGTTCACCCGCTAGATCGCAGTCGAATCTCCAGAGAATATTCTCAGGGTGGTCACCTCCTAATACAGTACAATAATTTGTAATTCAGTGAATAAGGAGTTTAAAATATATTCTAGAGTCAATACGAGTATATGTGGATTAATATATATATATAAAAAAAAAATATATATATATAAATTTATTATTGCTAATAAATAATAATAATGAAAATGAAGAAGATATTTAGAACATAGCGCAAAAAAAAACATAAAAGTTTTACAATAATAATTTCATTTTGTAGCAAAGTGACATTATTTTTTTCCATATCTAATATTTTTGGACAAATTGTTTCGATTTCGCTGCTTAGTAACTATAAAAATATTGCAAATTAATTTACCCGGAAAGAAAAATTTTGTTGATGTACCTAAAAATTTATCTAGATACGGATTTGAAAGTAATTTTGTTCGACCATCAAAACATGTAGAAATTTCAAACATTATTGCAAAAAGTTTTGATATTCTAACAACTTACTTAAGCGTCTTACATAATTATTTTAATGGTCCAACAAAATTATTTTCAGATCTGTAGCTAGATAAATTTGTAGATACTTCAGCAAAAGCGTGATATCTTTTCCGTGATATGCGAACGTATATAACGGTAATGATCAATATATCACTTGATCTAGCGAACATAATAGGACGGGACAATCTCGTGGCAGATAGATGGTTGTACCTTGACCCAAGATGATGCCCGAAGAGCCCCGTCTCTGTCTCGGCGGAGGTGCTTGGTGTTTGTGCGAGTGATGGCTGTGAAGATGTGAATGTGAGTGGCAGTGCGTGTGACGCGTGTGCGTGGGGGTGGCTTTGCACGGTGGCGGTTGCTGTTGTTGTGATTGCTGCTGCTGTTGCTGCTGCTGTTGAGGACGAAGATGAGGACGAAGCCTGTGCTAGGTGTTCCCGCCATGGGACACTTGATCGAAGCTCAATGATTTCTTCATCTCCGTCATCGACAACGCACCACCCTCCTGCTGAGAGATAAATAAGCGCAAGTGTTAGCTATATCAGGTTGACTAACAGAGAACAACAGAGTTTAGCGATGAGACAAATGGACAGACGAGTTATTAAAAAGTTATACGAAGTTGTTAAAAGTTTTTAAAGATAGGCAGGAAAGTTATTATTGGGCCTCCGTGCGCCAACGTTGATAACTATGTCTTTAGAGTTGTGTTTGAAACGACCAGCACGTGCTTCGCGAAACAATCTTTTTTTACGAGAATTCCGGGATATGGTAGTGCCGATATGGCTTTCGGATCACGTTTTCAGAATGGAGCGAGGCGTTCACAATATACACGCAGACATATAGCTTAAAAAGACTGCTATATGAAGGTGAAGCTTGCGGTTAATAAAACGAATTTCTCTGCGAATAGTCTAGATTCTAGGCAGATCGATCTTATGCAAATAATTAAAAATTACTGACTAGTCTGCACTAACACAATTTAACTGAAGAATTTTAATAATAATACGAGCAAGATATTGTAATTAATATTACGTCAAATACGTTTTAATTTGACATTTTATTTGATTTTTTTCTTTGCGTTTGTATAAGATATTATATATATATATGTAGATTGTATGTGTGTAGATGTTAAATACGTTATAAATATATAAATTTTGTTTGAATGGGGAATGATCTACCATTGTATTTATTGTATAAATCAGCGCGAGATCATCTCAATCATGGTTTGAGAAATGATAATGTGACCGATAATGAACAGAGAGTATTCTGAATAGTGTAGGATAATGCGGTCAATGTGGTTTATTGGAATTCAGAATTTGCGCGGAATTTGCTAGAATACAAATGTATTTTCTCAACAATACGGATGTCCCTATTTATAGCGTGCATTACGTATCGACAAATGGTATATTAACATTGAGTTAATTGCTGTTGGATAGTATAGAACTAGATGTTACGATACAATACATTCGAAACGGATATAATACATTTTGAACTGTAGATACTTTACGGATTTTCGATTGTATATGTGAAATTGTGCATCACTTTTTTGTTTTAAAGTAATCATTCCTTTATCTTGAAAAGAACGTGCTGACAATGATTGAAGAGTTTGAATGGTTGTAGGGTCGATTCTGCAGTATATCACTTTACATTATCGTAGCAGTATTTGGCAGGTGGCATTTAAAAAAAAAACATCATGTATTTTCATTTAAGAAAATTAGAATTAGAAGTAACAGTTACATTTGACTTTGAACTGGTCGTTCAGCTTTGATGGAATTTAAATGAGTTTTTAATTATACCACAGTGAGATTGTAATTAATTTTAAAACGGTTGAAAAAGTCTGCTTGATGAAAGAGACATGATATTAGTACGGAAAGAGGTAAAATGAGAGAACGAGAGAAAAACACATCGCTTTTATCACACTGACATTTTTTTAATAGTGTTAGTGATTCATAAAGTTTGTGAGTGCTAATCAAAAGTGTTAATTCGTATCATCTCTATGATACAAAGTGATTTAAGTGCTTAATCTTTAGAATATGCATATAATTCTTTTAAAATTTTCTAGTAAATTTATGATTTTTCTTCTAATTTGAAAATATTTTACAAATGATAAAGAGATCTTTCTGTATGTAAAACAATAATTTTTACTCAAATTATCATGTTAGTATTAATTTTAGAAATTATACGATAATTTATTAAATTTATTCATTTTCGATTTTTATTGATAATTCTGAATTTATATATTAAACAAATAATTTTTTTATTTTAAAATTTAGCGATATTATAATTTAAAGTTTTATATTCAATGGATTGTTTTATAATTTGATATTCATAAGGAAAAGAAAATAACAGTTAAGAGAGTAAATTTGAGAAAATTACTTCCGTATTATATGAACTTTTTTCGCACATCACTTATTCATTTAGATAATGAAGATTTTATTTTTTGAATATTTTTTTAGAACTTATATTTCGTTTTTAAGGCTAATATTTATAGAGTACTCTTGTATGTGTTTTTGTATGAAATATTCCTGATAGGTTTGCATTGAAAGATGGCTCTCTATAAAAGTGTAACCTACGTACGTTCCTCTCAAGTTTTCAAGAACATGATCGGCTTATACGCTCAACGAAAAAGATAAATATACGATATTGATTTTACTCATCATGTAATATTTGCATCATGACTAAACCATTCTCCATAGAAATTTCATTAAATTTCGCTCGAAGGTATAACGCGCAATAAAGCGCACGCTGTTATTGTTGCAAGTTTATGCATGCAATTATGTCTAACGTACAATACTGCAATTGTAAGCGTGTATGACATAATCCTATATTGTGTGGGTATGTGTGTGTGTGTGTGTGTGTGTGTGTGTGTGTGTGTGTGTGTGTGTGTGCAGGCAGTTCATTAACTGCAAAACATAAAACGTGCGCGAACGAAAAAATATTTTATAATGAAATATACGCTTTATAATGTGCACTCGCGCCATGAAGTAACCAATCTAAAATCAATACTTAACGGCTATCGTAAAAAAAAAAGAAAAAAACGTATACATCGTCACAACACTTTACAGATAGATGTGGGGTGTACAATAAATTCGTGCGAAATTCGCGTGGGAGGCAACTGGCTTTTATAATACTCCCTTGTCAAATGATGTGCGGAATCTTTCTCGAATATCCATTATTTCTCTGAATTCGAGTTTCTATAATATAAAAACGAGAAATATTTAGAAAAAAAGAGGGGCTTTTGGAAACTGTACTCTCAGCACGGTAATACGAATCGCGAATCTTCGACCGATATCACATGCATATTGACTCTGAGGAATACTTTCTAACACAAAGACGAGAAAAATCCAGAGTCCACGTAATTGGCTTTGTTCGACGAAATTGAATTACCGTGGAACGAGTATCGCTCCGCGCGACCAACAATCGGCTCTCCTCGGAAAGCTCCCAGGTAATCTGTTGCCACGTTTCCATCTCTCCTGATTGTTTCGCCACTTTTTTCCTCGAATATGTACGCCAATGATAATTTGTTCAAGTCTTGCAGTTCCGTTGCAAGTGTCTGAGCAGAATTCGTAATTGCGTCGCGCGATGCAAATTGTTTAAGTCGTCGTTATTATTTAGAAATTTAATTAAAGATAGGAAAATATCGAATTTACTATAATAGTTTGCAGTTTGCAAATTATTATAGTATCCTCGAAGAGATGCCGATTGCAAAAAACTTGATCGCGTGCCCGTCATGTGGGACAAGACTTACACCATTTAATCGCGGGATCTCGATGCTCGGTATGTAGGTCGTTTCCTCGTGTTCGGAGGAGCAGAGTCGCGTCCTTCTCCTGGAAGAGCGCGGGCTGCAACGGCCGCACAGCCCGGCGGCCGCGGAATTGCGCGATTTCGCAGCGGGCCTCTGCCTGGAGCCGCAGCGGACAGCAAATCGCAATTCCGAGGCCATCTCGGCGCAGAGAGACTGTCGAGCGGTTAAATGATGGTCGATGCGTAGTAGGTGCATGTGCGTGTTTACCGTCCAAGGAGTAATCGTTGACGATGCAGCAGATGCCGATACGACAGGTACAACATATACCAAGAGACAATACACGAAACGATCATACGAGACCTGAACGCATGCAAGGCTGATTTCTCCGTCGCGTGAGGCCGTCTGTTCATCAAGACGTATTCTTTCGAATAAATGCTTGCCACGGATATATTGCATTAACATTCAGTCTATATGCATTTAACTTACATAAATCAAAGTGATGTTAAGGTCACCGAAAATGAGAAGGCAGATATTTGATTTAAATATACGAGAGGAATAGAAAGATTCAGGATTAACTTTGCAGCTATAAATTAAATTCCTTATGTGATTATTCTTCGTTGCACTATTGTATTTTTTTCATTCAACTAGAATTTTACTCATTATATTTTGTACGCATTCTGCCTTTTATCGCTTAGTGTAAAGACTGTAAAGCAATACAATAATAATAATGCAAGGTATTGAGAAAAATGTATTAAATTTTAATATCTATTTGTAGCTAAATATAAAGATACATTTATTTGTACCATAATTATAATTTTTTTATTCAGTAAATATTTATTTATTGTAAATAAATGTTAAGTTAGTACTATTACTATTAATACTATTACTATCATAATACTATAAACGAATATTTAAACAAATATCAAAATTTAGTACATTTTTTCTCAGTGTATAGGAAATAATAAGTCAAGAAAATCACGAAAAAGTCAAGAAGGTGACAGAATTTTGAATTAATTGTAAGATTCAAACGACCTCGCCCATCCATGAGAAAGTACAACTCATGCAACATGTTCACATAAAATCCTATACCGGCATCTCTTTTAACTTACCCTGTCCGATTGGGCATTCTTTTTGGAGTTCCAACAGAACTCGAGGATTGCCACCAGGATTGCTAGCGCCAGGCCGCAGAGCAGTACAACGAAGACACCGCCTGAAATGACAAAACCGAAAGCTCATTATTTTAATGTCGGCGGAGTCGCACGTTTTTCTCTAATTTCACCGCAAACGAGACGCCGTTGGCAGCCACGAAGTACGATGGGGCGTGTTTGTACCCCATTTCTCGAACTTTCTTCGTGACTTCTTCATCCTTTCCTCTCCTCTACCACCCTTTGTAGCACTGGTTTAGTCGAGGAGCAAAGAAAAGAGAAAAGAAGTACGGCGAAAGAAAAAAGGCTCCGCGGCGGCGGCCGCGGAAAATCGTGCGCGCAATATCTAAGCGGAGCGTGCACTTTCAGATCGATCGCATTATACTTTTTGGTCTGTTTCATGGGGAAACTTCGCGATGGAGTATTCGCGGGTAACGACCGTGAGTAGGGCGTGCATGGAAACGTATATACTGATAAATGGCGAGGTGCTTGTATTTATTGCGATGCAAGAGTCGTGCGAAAACAGTGAACTCTGGAAGGATATTTACGCTTCGTACGAAGTTTAGCTTACCCCTGATAAAAACGAAAGGATAGGAAGTATGCGAAAGTTCAAGAGAGCGTTGCATTTGGAATTAATGGCTGTTTCCACAATGATTCGTGAGATTATTCGCAAAACCGGAACTTTCTTGAACACGAGTCATGAACTATAATAATATATGCTAGTTGCTTATGAGTTGCTACATTCCACTTTCCTTATTTCTTCAAGTAGAATTCGATATTCCGCATAATTATCGACTAAAATAATACTTGAACAAATTTTTAAAGAGTTTAGAAATTATTCTATATTTATTCTGTATTTTATTGAGGATCTAATAAATTTAATGAGTAAATATAACGGGATTTAAAATTTGAGGTTAGCTGTATAAAATTTGAGCAAACTGCTTTGGTAAACACTTCAACTTTTTCGCCAATATTTCTTCGTACGTGATCAAAGATGAGTTTCCACTTTATTGGTCGAAAATACGGTGCACGGAATCCGTTTCCATGCAGTCAGCAAATTTACCTTTCGGGAACTTCTCAATTTCTCGAGTTGAGCCATTAGTAATTGATCACCGTCTGCAGTTATATATATATTGCTACATGCCTATAATACATACTGTAATTTTTACTAAAGATTATCCTTTTATATATTTAAATCTATAAGATATTAATTATTTTCAAATTAAATTATTTTTAATTATACGCATAAAAAACAACCAATTACTCTAATTTATATAAAATAATTATTAAACCTGACAACAATAAGATAGAGAAAAATTTGTGGAATACATTCGCTTATTTTGCTCTGGCAAACATTTTTTATCCATGAAACTTTTAACTATATATTCAAGACGAAAGAATGGGGAACAAAGTATGGAGGATGGAGGCGCTTTTGAACAGGCTAAAAAGTGTCCACTTATCGTTGACGGCAAGACAACCCAGCCGGGATCTCGGGGGGGGGGGGGGGGGG